TCTCATGGGTCGTGGGTTGGAGCCCCACATCGGGCTCCCTGCTCAACAGGGAGTCTGCTTGAAGATTCTCTCCCTCTGACCCTCCTCCCACTCTCTCTCTCAAATAAATAAATAAAATCTTAAAAAAAAAAAAACACAATGAGATACTATTTCAAACCCGCTAGAATGGCTAGAATGAAAAAGGCAGATATAACAAGTGTTGACAAGGATGTGGAGAAACTGGAATCCTCATACATTGGAGTGAGAATGTAAAATGTACAGCTGATGTGGAAAAGTTTGACAGTTACTCAAAAAGTTAAACATAGTTACCATATGACCCAGCAATTCTGCTCATACATATATACCTAAGAGAATTGAAAACTTAGATCTACACAAAAAATTGAACACAAATGTTCATAATAGCATTATTTATAATAGCCAAAGTGTGAAGTACCTGTTTTTTTTTGTGAGATGTCTGTTCAATTTTTTGCACATTTTTATTGTTTTGAAAATAGGTGTAGTTGACGAGGTTCACATAAAATATAACTATTAACCCTCCACCTCTCAGTGCTGAACCCTGGGATTACAGGGAGCCAAGTTTCCTGCACCATCTGCTATGTTAAAACATGTAGAGAAGAACCTGTTGGAAGTGACATGAATCTACAGTCTAATACTTGGCCTTTTAATCAGGATTGTTACTAGTGATTGCTTTATTCTTTCATAGCAGTTGGTCACTGTAATGCTCGTAATCTGTTGGTCTCCATAGTGCTTGTATGAATACAGTGGTCAAATCTGTTCTCTCACACCTACTGAACCTGCTTCACCATCAACCTGCTTCTCATTGTTTGATCCCTTCCCCTTTGCCCAGGCTTGGCAGGCTGGCTGCCAGAGCATCTCAGGTGACCTGAGAGAGAGTTCATTGATGGAAGAGATCAGTCAAGTGAGTAGCATCCTTTGGGCAGAGATAGAACTTGGCTCTCTTGGTACTTTTCTGGTTTGAAATATCTACGAATGTATGCCAGGACAAACTCCTCAAAACTCTCCATCTGGGCCTCCTTTTCCATGTTCTCATGGAATTGATGAATCAAGGATTGATGAATTAATTGGGTGGACGTTTGTCAGTGAAGTTTCCCTATGGTTTGCTTTATAAAAACTACATGGACAGAAAAAAAAAAAAAAACTACATGGATAGCAAAAAAACAAGATTGGGTAGTCTCCTTTGGAGTTTAACAATTGGGATGGATCGCTAAATCTGAGTTACCCATTGAGAGCCACTGGCTGCCTATTGGTCATGGCAGCTACCAACAGATTCATAAGGAGACCAACATAGGTGAGTGGCTGCATGTGCACCAGGGGGTGCCCTGTGAGCCTACCTTACCCAAAATAATAGATTGAAAGGTGGACTGAAGTTTTCATGGAACACTTCCTAGGCAATTGCATTTCAATAGACAAATGATGGCATCTACAATTCCTGAGTCCTCTTAAGGCAAATTTTGTAACTTTGTGTTAAATAATCTAATTAAGTTTTGCCAGCATTCTGAGCTTTTCAGTTATCATGGCTTATCCCATTTTTAGGGCTTTCTTAATCAACAGAATCTCACACAATGATACTTTCCAACAACTGGATGAGGTCTCATGGGGGTGTCTGTAAAGGCTCCTACCAAATTCTTCAGAGTAATTTGGCTGATAAAAGGTAGGATGCCAAGGGGTGCCTGGGTGGCTCAGTTGGTTAAGCATCGGACTCTTGATTTCGGCTCAGGTCATGATCTCAGGGTCATGAGATTGAGCCTCCTGTCGGGCTCCATCCTGGGTGTGGAGCCTGCTTAAGAGTCTCTCTCTCCCTCTCCCTCTGCCCCTCCCCCACCACGCATGGTGCATGCGCACGCACACTCTCTCCCTCAAAAAAAAAGGTGATTAAGCAGGTGCTATCCATCATGTGTCAAAGGGAATGTGTCAATGGGCAGGGTCTGGGGAGTGACAATCAGTAACTGAAGGAAAGCGAAACTAAAGTTGGCAATTGTTGAGGAGGCAGTGGGGGCAGGAGTCAGGAACTCAAAAATTAAGTCCTAACAAAGGAAATGAGGATTGAAAGAAGATACATGCTCTGTTCTCTGCTCTTGGATCTGGGATCTTCTCTGTGCAGACACTTGGCTCCTGGGTCTACATCTCTGGCTGTGACTTTTTTCCTTAGATTAATTCTTTCAAATCACATGTTCTTTATACTGTCCAGTATAAATGGAACACTTTTATAGATGCAAATAGAAAGGGATGGAAGTACATGTCCTGGTTTTAACCAGTCAGAGGAGCAGAAATTACCCCTGGCCATCAATGGGGAGATAGATTTAGAGACCAAATTGCACTTTGTTTGATTTTATTAACTAACTACTTTTTATTAATTTTTTTTATAAAGGGAGGGGGCTAGGAGCAGAGGCAAAGGGAGAGAATCTTAAGCAGGCTCCATGCCCAGTGTGGAGCCCGACACAGGGCTCTCAGTCTCACAACTCTGAGAACATGACCCGAGCCAAAATCAAGAGTTGGACACTTAACCAACTGAGCCATCCAGGCACCACCCAACTACTTTTAAAATTGAACAATCTGGGGCGCCTGGGTGGCTCAGATGGTTGAGCGTCTGCCTTCAGCTCAGGTCATGATCCCAGGGTCCTGGGATCGAGTCCCGCATCGGGCTCCCTGCTAGGCGGAGCCTCTGCCTCTCTCTCTCTCTCTCTCTGACTCTCATGAATAAATAAATAAAACATTAAAAAAAAATTGAACAATCTATCATAAGCCTTTTCCTAACCATTAAAAGCATTCATGTAAGAAAATTACAGAAGTGTAATATACATACAGAAACTTGTATATAAGTTAATCATATAATCATCACAGCATTATTTATCATAAAAAATGGTCAGCATTAGGAGAATTAACACCTAAGTGTACAGTTTGAAGGCTTTTCATAAACAGAACACATACAGCCACGTGGCTAGCTTCTGAGAAGTGCCTCTATACAAGTACTGATTTTTTTTTAAAGATCTTATTTATTAGAGAGAGAGCATGAGTGGGAGGAGGGCCAGAGGGAGAAGCAGACTCCCTGCTGAGTGTGGAGCCCAAGGCGAGGCTCCATCCCAGGACCCAGAGATCATGACCTGAGCCGAATTCAGATGCTTAAATGACTGAGCCATGCAGGTGCCCCCAAGCATTGATTTTTAATAGCTCTATCACAGTCCATTGTAATTTGCTTAACCATTCTCCTAATGCTGACCATTTTTTTTATGATCAATAATGCTGTGATGATTGTTATCTTTCCTCCCATAACACCACCACCGCCATCCCACTTGCCCTTCTGGTTTGGATTCTAAGGATGGTCCTTTCAGTGACTTGCTTGTAATGGTCTTAGAGTACTTTACCACCCCCTTGGCTATTAGCTGTTTCCCCTTGACTGTCCCCAACCCTGGAAAGCCCCGTTTGTCCACATTGTCTCCTCTGGGCTATTGAGTGTGGAGAGAGAAAGTCCAGAATCAGGCCAGTTAAGGCCACTACAAATTCATGCCGCCTATTCAAGGCCCTCACTGCTTGCTGTGGTATGGGTTCTGTGTGTGAAGATTGAGCTGTTTGTTTGCCTTCATGTCAGTGAGTGATATTGACATAACCTTCTAAGTGATCCATCACTTCTTAGTATTATCTTTGTCAACTTTTAAAAGATTAGAAGCCCACTTGCAATTTTATATTTTGAAAAGAATGCAGATGGCTGGTTTTGGAAGATTTGATGCTCGTCCCATGCTTCCTGCAGTGGGATAGATGGGGTAAGCGGATGATTTTAAGCGAGACACAAAGAAACATTTTGTATGTGTTTCTTTTAGTGAGTGTGATAGTGAAATATAGTTAACCCACTAAACTCAATTTTCAGCAATGCCATTGCTTAGAAAGAGGGTAAGTTTTAAAAGTAAGCTGAGCTAAAGTTAATTTAAAGAAAACCTCTAATTATGGGGCGCCTGGGTGGCTTAGTCGGTTGAGCTTCTGCCTTCGGCTCAGGTCATGATCCCAGGGTCCTGGGATCGAGCCCCGCATCGGGCTCCCTGCTCGGCAGGAAGCCTACTTTCTCCCTCTCCCACCCCTGCTGCTTGTGTTCTCGCTCTGTCAAATAAATAAATAAAATCTTTAAAAAGAGAGAGAGAGGGAGAGAAACTGTAATTATGTGACCAGCTGGGAGGTCGGCAGAGGCGCTGTGACAGTGACCATGAGATGACATAGCTTTGCTACCACTCAGCGGTCTTCACAGCTTTCTCTTGGGGCCCTCACAGAGGAAGAAACAGAGTTATTTAGGCTATGCCAAGAAAAGGGAACAGGCCCTCAACGTCATACTAAAATAGGGCTTACTTCTTGTTTTTGGCCTCTGTGTATGATATATCTCATGGGTCGGTTTTGTGCTTAACTATTATGTAAGTGGTTATCACTAGTCAGCCAGATTTTCAGTTTAACAACATTTTTGGAGATAATAGTAGCTTTTCCATTTTGAGACCAAAATTTTCAAATTACCTATAGATGAGGATGAGTCTGTAGTTCGTGTAGGAAACCAATACAATAATCTGATTTAGAGGTTTTTTTTTTAAGATTTTATTTATTTGACAGAGACACAGCGAGAGAGGGAACACAAGCAGGGGGAGTGGGAGAGGGAGAAGCAGGCTTCCCGCTGAGCAGTGAGCCCAGTGCGGGGCTCAATCCCAGGACCCCGGGATTATGACCTGAGCTGAAGGCAGACACTTAATGACTGAGCCACCCAGGCGCCCCTAGAGGGTTTTTTTTAAGTCATCTCTACACCCAACATGGGGCTAGAACTGATGACCCCAGGATCAAGAGTTATATGCTCTCCTGAGTGAGCCAGCCACGTGCCCCTGGTTTAGGTTTTTGTTCTTGTCTTGCTAAACTCGCAGTCCAGGATCAAGTGGACATGTTGGAGACTCAGTGTTTGAATGTCCATGTGTTTACCATTTGCCATTTGGTTGGCAGTACCTTATGCTTTTACCTATCACCTTACTTTGCTTCCACCTAAACTATAAGTCCTAAGGGAAGAAACCATGTCTTTGTCTTTGTCTTTTTTTTTTTTTTGGAATCTTCAATACGAGTATAATAGTCTATGAAAGTAGATACACAAATTTCTATGGGCAGACATCAGATATATACATCCAATACTTGAAAAAAACAGCTTCTAGTATGGAAAAGTTCAAGCATAGCCATCATCAACACACTATCTGGCATTTTCTAAACTCTGTTTCATGGATGTATAAGATGAAGGCTGGGGAAAGATATCAGTTAAATGTATGCTTTCTCTTTCCTAACAGAAAAAGCAAAATACAATACACCAGGGGGAAGACACTGTTGTAAGAATTACACAGCAACCAGAGAGAGGAGAGGCTCCTGGCCTCCACGGCCAGCATTATATAAGCAATGATGAGCTGGGTGTGGGCCCAGGTGAGGGTCCTATAGAGCAGTTGCATCGGCCAGGACCTGATAAATGAGCGGGCAAAGGTGTGAATCAGGTAATCAGCTTCCACCATCAGAGCCCAGCAGAGGAAACCAAACACCTGTCCTGGATGGAGTCCGTGCCACCAGGCCGAGAAGGCGAATGTCTGCAGCAGGGGCCAGGCCCTGCCGTGCTGGAATACGAGGCGTCTGAGCCACCGTGCTGTGCTTTGGTTCCACTTTCTCGTGAACAGGGAAATCCTGTGGGTTGTTTCCAGGGTCCAGATGTCTGCATCAGGAATGTATCCCTCCTCACCAGGGCTCTGACCAAACCCCGGCCCAAAGCCCGCGGCATGGAGGAGGGCGTCATCCAGGATCCAGCAGGAGTAGTAGGTGAGTTTAAAGAGCCCAGCTGTGGACCACATGACACGGATGCACTGGAGTTGCCTGCAGTCAGTCAGACCTGCTCCTGCTCTCACCACCTTCCCCAAGACCACCTTTAGGCACTCGAGGCCCAGGATCTGCAGACCCCTCCAGCTCAGAGCCCAGACAAAGTGCCTGCGACACAAATTGCTGGACCTTTGAACACGAGCCTGAAATTTCTGGAAGGAACATAGGGGGCCTCCTAGGAGAGCAGGAAAAAAGAGCAAGTAGCTGAAATAGGGCAGTGCCTTACACAGATGCTCAGACAACGAGCTTCTTTTCCTGATGCCTCTTGATGCTGCCTTCACTTTTCCCTCACAAATGTCCAGAGAGAGGGATGTGACCCTCTGGGTCAAGAGCATGAGGGAAGAAAGAGTGATGCAGAACCTGAAAGAGATTTATTTAAAATGTGAAAATGCTCCATATTTATTTCATCCCATCCCCGTCCCTCACACATGACCCCACAGCGAACAGCCACTCTGAACGATGGAGACTGATGTCCTGCCCTGCTGTGCCCCCACAAAGACTCTTGGATTAATTCACACCACAGGCTACTCTGGGCAGGATCAAAATGTAAATGGGGAAATGAATCATTAGAGAGGCAACTAAAAGAATGTCAAGGAATATTGTGGGGGAAATATTGTTAGGATATTTCTAAGAACAGTTTCTATAGATTAGAATCAGGGACCTGGGAGAAATTTGCCATGGAAGGAACAAAAATTTAGTACTGAAGAAACTATAGGAAGGCGAAGATTTTAAATATGAACCGGTCCCTGTCAGTAAGATTCTGTAGGCTTTGGGATCTGTGCTCAGAAACGGTGAGTCAAGCTTGGAGTTCAGGGTGTGCACTGAGTCATTAGCAATTTGAGGTGTGTTCTTAACCAGTCACCTGAACTGCTTCTGCCTCAGTGTCACAAGGTAGAAGAGATCCTGCTGGCAAGGTTATTGTGGAGAAGATTAATGAAAATTATGTGATGTTCTCTACAATCAGGAACGCTGTCCTATGGAGAGAAAATGGCAGTGTTTCCCACATGCCCACAGTTTCTGTGAGTCTGAGGATTTAAGGACAACTGACCTCCTCACCTGACTTAACCAAACAGTAAGCCAAGTAGCCTCCAAATACCACCAACCCCTGTTCGTACACCTGCTGTTGTGGGCTGAATGTGTTTCCCCCCAATTTCATACGTTGAAGCCCTAACCCCCAGTACCTCAGAATGTGACTGTATTTGGAGATAGGGTGATTAAGTTAAAATGAGGTCACTGGGGTGAACCCTAATCCAGTATGACTGTCGTCCTTATAAGAAGAGGAGATGAGGACACAGACACATAGGGAAGACCAGGTGAGGACACAGGGAAAGACAACCAACTACAGCCAAGGAGAGAGGCCTCGGAAGAAGCTGAACCTGCCAACACCTTGATCTTGAACTTCCAGCCCCCAGAGGAAGTAAATATCTGTTGTGTGAGCCACCTCATCTTCAGTACTTTGTTATGACAGAGCAAACTAATACATCTTCCCATTTCAGCTCTGGCTCAGTCTTCTTCCCATTCACCAGATCCTGTTCAGCTTGCTCCTCCAGCCCCTATCAAGTCCCAGCTTCTTAATGAAATCCTAATTCACCACACCCCAGTCAGTACTCCCCACCCCCTACCGCCTGCCATCTTGCCTCTTCTTCCAAGAAGCAAACCCTAAAGCCTTGGGTGAACACAGGATAAAGAAAAGGATTCTGGGTGTGGCAGGGATGGCAGAATAAGTGAACCAATGGCAAACTAGAATCAAAGAGGGGACCCGCCTTGACAGGTCACAGCCCCTGTTCTCTGAGTGACCACAGACCCACACCAATTGTGGTAATAGAGGAAGCCAGGGACCACAGGCCTCAAGATTGCAGAGATACCTGTTCTCCCCTAATCTGGGTGATCTCACTGCCTCATGAAAACACTTCTCTAGACTGTAATTAGTGCCTGATTCTGTTTCCTAGACTGGGTCACTACCCTTCTTCTGGGAGGAGGGAACAGCTGAGTCTCAATGAAAGCAAAACCCTTGCGTAGCACCTTCCATAGGAAGGCAGAGAAGGTTTACAGTGGATTTTTACTTTCCCGATCCTGCTGAAGGGGAGGAGAGGATATGGGCTGTGTGTCTAAACCACCCACTCTGAGTTGAGCAAACTGTGCTTAGTCACTTCTGGGCAGACCTCATCCGAGGGCCCTGGGACTCCTGGTTCAATGCCCTTTTCAAGTACAATGATAAATACAGCAAAGTGCCAGGCACTATGTGACATGGGCAACACATGGTAGTTATTTATAGTCATATAATTACATTATGTTAATTATCTCAAACTTAAGAGTCTCATAAGACCGGTATTCTTATACACACACATATACATATACACATACGCACACACTGGTTTGGTTTTTTTTTTTTAGGAAAAAAAAACTGAGGCTGAGAGCTTAAATGACTTGCTTAAGGTCACACAGCTCCAATGTGCAAGAATTCGGATTCAAACTCACTTCCACCATGGTGCAAGCAAAGCCTTGGCTGGGTTAGTACAGCCAAGTGAATAGGCCGCTTTACCTCGTGGAAGCACGTTCTTGCAGATAGTATTCCGTATAGTGCAGCCCCAGGTGACACAGCGTCTGCCAGCTCATCTGAAAGAAGAAAGCCCACCTGTGGACATCCCGTGGGCCAAGCCAGGCAATCAGAACCGCGGCCCACAGAGCGGGGGTGAGGACAAGCACAGCGAAGGAACCCATGGCGGCCAAGGCCAGGGCCCCCCCTCCAGCCAGCAGAAAGAGGTACCTAAAAGAGAAAGGACAAGTGTGAGACGGAACTGGTGTGACAAAGGATTCACGTTAGATGTCATTCTGGATAATCCAATGGAGGTAAACCCCACGTACCGCCTGAAGAAGCCATACTGTTATCACCCCAAAGTCTTCCTTTTGTTTTTCTGAAGGAAAGAACCCGAGGGAGAAAAAGCCAGAGTCCATTTGAAAACGACTATCTCAGGAGACAACTTTTTTAAAAAGATCTTATTTATTTGACACAGAGAGAGAGAGCATGAGTAGGGGGGAGGAGCAAGGGCAGAGGGAGAAGCAGACTCCTCGCTGAGCAGGGAGCCCGATGCTGGGCTCGATCCCAGGACCCCGGGATCATGACCTGAGCCGAAAGCAGACACTTGACCCACTGAGCCACCCAGGGACCCCTCAGGAGATTTATTTTGATTCCTACCTTAGTGATCCTGGGAACCTGTCTTTGATGTCCACCACTCAAGTGGGAACAACACCTCTGACAATCCTGTGGGTGATAGCTCCAGAGGTTTCCTGGTGGGGACATCTTAAAAATCTAGTGGCTTGCTGCCTGAATGAAAAGTGTTGTAAACCGAGTGTCGAGGATCTAGGAGAGCTCTCTAGACATCGCCTCATCGAGATGAGCCTCTTTCCTTTTCACTGGGTTGCACTGCCCTGAACCATTCCAGAGACAGTGGGAAAGGGGATTCCGTCTCTCTCTCTGTTTGAAAACTCAATTAGAAAATCTTTATATGCTCTTAATCCTCTCGACTGCACTTTCAGATCTTATGAGTTGGTGGTTTTTTCCATGTTGTTAAAGACCCACATCAGTGGTTTGTGGAAACTACCTCCCTTGGAAGCTGGCAGATGCCCTGAGGATGTGCAGAGACCTGGGAAATTTCACATGATAAGGACTCAGTTCTTCTTTCCACTTGAACTCATGGCCCCACGATCCAGAGTCACATGCTTTCCCAAAGGAGTCAGCCGGGTGCCCCTGTTTGTTTTCATTGGTGCCAAATTAATAAATCTGAATGGAGAGTTGTGAAAATAGGTACTGACTAGTCAGGGATAGGAAAATAGAGTCAAAGCGGCCTATGTTTTCTTGACCATCAGAGGGTACATATCCTGGCTCTGTGGCACAGTGACACACACACATGGGTGAGAAAGTCTTTCTTGGGAGCAACTGGTAGGTGCTCCAGTGTGAGAAGCTCTATCACACAAGGCCTGGGCCATTCCTGTGCTTCTCTTTGAGCTAACCCACCCCAATTAACACTGTGGCCCAAGACTTTACCTCCTTGCTGTGGAAAAATGAGAGGAACGGGTATTCCTTACACAGTGAAGCCTAAAGTGGCAACTGCCCTAAGGCTTTGTCAACATTAAAATGTCTACACATGTGCAATGCAGGCTACATGATATATTGAGTGCTTATTTTATTCTAGGCATTGTGCTAATAATCCCTGTATAAGAAATATCTTTATGTAATCCTTAAAATAACCCCATGAGATAGGCAGTATTATTTCCATTTCATGGATTAACTTGGAGAAAATTTATTCACATACACAAGGACAACTCAGGAAGGGAGGGACCCAGGACCCACCAGGCTGTCTCCAAAGCCAACAATCTTACCACGATGGGAATTAACCTTTGTTTTTGCACTTGTTTTGCTTTATTATTTGTGATTCTTTCTCAATAGGAAACTTTTTTACAACGCCCCCCCCCCATTGCCCCTAGCTCCTAAATGAAGGTAAGGGCCATCAACCAGTTGTGAACGTGTAATAACATACCACAGTTCAGTCAAACTCAGAAATTCTAACTGATAATTAGATACAGCTGGATTTTACTTAAAAATCAATGTATAAAAATCTTAATTTCTAAAATAAGTGAATTATTAGGAGGTAGCCTTCTGGCAACGGATTTTCATTTTACAAAAGGATATTCCACAAACTTCTTTAAAAACAGGGACTGTCTCAGGGGGCCTGGGTGGTTCACTTGGTTAAGCGTTGGACTCTTGGTTTCGGCTCAGGTCTGATCCCAGGGTTTTGAGATCAAGCCCCGTGTCAGGCTCCGAGCTCAGCACAGAGTCTGCTTGTTTTTCTCTCTCCTTCTCCCTCTGCCCCTCCCCCCTGCTCGCTCTCACTCTCTAAAATAAATAAAATAAGATAAAAAATTTTTAAAAGATTTTATTTATTTATTTGACAGAGAGAGACACAGCGAGAGAGGGAACACAAGCAGGGGGAGAGGGAGACAGAGAAGCAGGCTTCCCGCAGAGCAGGGAGCCCGATGCAGGGCTCGATCCCAGGACCCTGAGATCATGACCTGAGCCAAAGGCAAGACGCTTAACGACTGAGCCACCCAGGCACCTCAATAAAATAAATCTTTAAAACAAAAAACAAGGACTGTCTCTCGTGTATAGAATCTACTAGCTAGATCTAAAATCATTTCAATCAAGTTGTCAAATCTCTAGGGACAATAATTTTTAAACCCTAGATTGAGATATAGCTAATCTAACAATTTGTTTTGACTTAATTCCATTTCTCTTGAGAAACGATACAAGGCATTTAAAAAATCAGTTATATATTTAACAAAATTTAATTTTATTGAAAATGATAAAATTCCATGAAATTAGGACTGTTCAAGAACATGTAGGACATATGGTGGGGGTACAGATATATCTAATTGGGGAATTCCTGTACCATCTCAACAGCTATCTCTCCCCAGAGTTTATTTTTATTCTTTTCCCATTTAATGGGAAACTTTGAGTCAATGGAGTCATGATGTCAATTTCCAGTTGCATTTCACTCTATTAGAGATACTCCAGACCAATCAATAATCGGTGGTAGTGATAATCACTTAAAAACAACCGTATAATTAATTATTTAATCTTCACGTCTACAGGCCGATCCATGCTTTTTGACCTACTTTGGTATTCATAGATGTAAGAGCAAAATGAGCCCTTAAACCTACCTGGCATGGGTGGAAAATGAATCCAGGACGCAGAGATAATTAAACAGAAGTGCAAAAGGAAAAGCAGCCCCTTGATAAAGTGACACAGGATGGAGGAAGAACCCCTGAAGCCAATCCATTGTGAACTGGAACAAAGACACTGTTCTTTCTAGAGTCCTCAACTGGTGCCTTCCTGTAAGAGACGCCTCAACCAGGCTCTCTTTGATCTTTTTATATGGCTCAGGAAGGCCTGGGTGAGTAAAGAACAAACAAAAGCACCAGCCAGAAGCTGCATAAAAGTTGGCTTTCTGATAAAGGGAACTGCGCTATAGAAACCAAAACACATTCTGGTGTTCTATTAAGAATGTACGGAAAACATTGCTTTCAGAAGTTCTCATTTTGTTTAGTTTACATACTGCATTATTTGCCTTTCCAGTCATCTGATTGTCATATTTTCTTCACTAAGTTAATGAAAAATCTCATTTTCCAGTTGTGGACAGATAGCCAGCTGGGGAGGGTGAGCGAGGACATGAGCATGAGGAAGGGAGGCAGGTTCTCAAAGAGCAGGAAGATTCCTCCTCCCAACCACTTCCTTATACTATTTCTTTATCTTTTTTTTTCCATAGTACCTATCACCACCTCTTCTCTATTTTTCAATTAGTTTATTGTCTGTCCCCTGCTACAATGTGAGCTCTACAAGGGAGGAACTTTGTTTTGTTTATTGCTGTATCCCCCTGCACATAGAACAGTGTTGGGCATATGCTATGTAACCAGTAAATACCTGTTAAACTTTACAAGGTTTTAAGGAAGTGAAGTGTAGAGAAGAACGTTTAAGGAGAAGCTTTTCTTCGGAGTGTGGACAAGAAATACAAGAGACACTGCCTAGAAGAAAAGAACAGGCCATCTCTTGGCTGGTAGAGTCCATCTACTGAGTCCAGAGTATTACAGCGATGTACCTGACTGGCCATTTCTCATCTTTGAAGACACACCAAGAGCAAGCAGCCTTAAATAAAGGACAGGAGAGTAGAGCCTGATACAAAAGCATCCTAAGGACAAGGACCATTTCTTAGTGAGAGAGAGCTCTGCAAAGAAGAAAAAGCAGAGAGAATCTCTTATTAACTAGGGGACTCTGAGCGAAATCCCTTTTCTCGGAGACTGAGCCCCTTGATAAAAAAAAATTAGATATAATAATGCCCGTCTCAACAGAATGGTTATGAGGATTAAAGTATGGAAAGGCATGGAGCCTAAAGCTGGTTGTTAAATGTAGTTGAAAGTAAAACAGTTGGATAACAATAAAAATGGTAGCACTATTGGGCTACCATTTTATGATAGACTGGTGCCAAGCACTAGGAATATAAAGATGAATAAGACATGGCCCCTGCCTTCAAGCAGGTCTCAATCTACGAGGGAGATGGAAATGGCAACGAATACTTTCATCAAAGAATGACAGGTGCAGTATACCATGGGTATCCTGTAGTGGGTAAATAAAGAAGCAATTATCTGCAGCGCTTAAATTGGCTCTGGAAGGAGGTTTCCAAACAGATGGACAGCTTATTCCAGGCCACAGGTGGCACAAAGATCTGGATGAACAGTAGAACAATGAATAAGCTCACACAATATTGAACATACTAAAATGTAATCACATCCCTCATTAAATTTAACTTAGGTACAGAGGAATTGAGTTGCAGTTAATTTGCTAGGAAAAAAAGTTATGCTTTGGGGCACCTGGATGGCTCAGTCTTAAGTGTCTGCCTTTGGCTCAGGTCATGATCCCAGGGTCCTGGGATAGAGTCCCACATCTGGCTCCTTGCTCAGCGGGGAGCCTGCCACTCCCCCTGCTTCTGCTCTCTCTCTGTGTCAAAAAAATAAATAAAATCTTAAAAAATAAAAAAAAAGGTTATGCTTTTTGTCTTTGAATTAAATATTTTTTAATTTTTAAAAATTTAAAAATTTATTTATTTGTCAGAGAGAGGGCACAGCAGGAATTTATTAATTCCTACTTGTACTTTTTGTTTTGGAATCAGTACATTTTTAAAAGATTTTATTAGAGTGTGTGCGTGTGTGCAGTGGGGAGGGGCAGAGGGAGAGGGGGAAGCAGTTTTCCCACTGAGCAGGGAGCTGCACTCTGGGGCTCTGGGGCTCAATCCCAGGACCCTGGGATGATGACCTGAGCCCAAGGCAGACACATAACCTACTGAGCCACCCAGGTGCCCCTGGAATCAATACATTTTATTTTCAGGTCTCAAACAGTTTGTAGGTCCCTAAAAAGCTTATAGGCACTAGACACGGTACCTAATGTTGATAAAATGGTCCTTCTTATCAGCATGCTGTGATGGTTAATTATTGTATCAATTCAGGCTATCCTGCTCAGTTGTTTGGTCAAACACCAATCTTAGTTGCTGTGAAGTTTTTTTGTTTTTGTTTTTACATTTAAATCAATACTTAGAGTAAAACAGATTACAATCCAAAATGTGGCTGCACCTCTTCCAATCAGTTGAAGTCCCTAAGAACAAAGACTGAGGTTTCCTAAAGAAGTAGCAATTCTACCTCCAGATGGGGTCAGAGAAACCCTGAGTTTCCAGTGTGTGGATTTTGGATTCGAGACTGCAACATCAACTCTAACCTGAATTTCCAGCCCATGGGTCTACTTGTACAAATTTCAGGTTTGCCAGCCCCCATAATCACATAAGCCAATTCCTACAATAAATTGTGTGTGTGTGTGTGTGTGTGTGTGTGTGTGTGTGATCTCCCGTGCTTGTGTTTCTCTGGAGAACTCTGATACACATGCCCTAGAAGTCTTTCAAATTAATTTAGACAGAAATTGCTTGAAAACGAGTAAGTGCTTATATGCTTAGGGACAAAAGAATGTTCTCAATTCATCCATATATTTATTCAATAATTCTTTTTGAGTATCAACTATGTGTCAGGTACTGTGGTCAGTATTGAATAAAGAGTGGGGACAAATTCATGTGGCTACTTTCATGGAACTTAGTCTTTGGGGGAGATAGTAAGATAAAAAATTACAGCTGCTGAATGGTCCCTTTTTTCTTAAGTAAACTCCAACCCCAAGATCAGGAGTCACGGGCTCTATCGACTGAGCCAACCAGGTACCTGAATGAGGGGTCCTCTTCTTATCCCATGGAGAAAACCAAAAGTACAGCAAAAATGACCTATTTCTGATTGGATGGTCAGAGGTTTCTCTGAGTGTGATGGTTAGTTTTTTGTATCAACTTAGCTAGGCTACGGTTCCCAGCCATTCAATCAAACACCAATGTAAGTGATGTTTTGAAGGTATTTTATAGGTGTGATTAAAGTCTATAACCAGTTGACTTTAAAGAAGGGAGATTATCCTAGATAATCTGGGTGGGGCTGATCCAATCAGTTAAAAGGCTTTAAGAGCAAAGCTGGAGCTTTCCTGAAGATATTCCACCTATATAGACAGCAGCTTCACCACATGCATGAGAGTTCCAGCCTGCCCTACAGACTTCTGACTTGCCTAGCCAGCCCCCACAATCATGTAAGCCAATTCCTTGCAATAAACCTCTTAATTTATCTCTCCTAGTGGTTCTGTTTCTCTGGCTGAACGCTGACTAATACACGGAGGATGGGTCATCTGAGACTTGAACCCTGGGGCGGGGGGGGCAGGGCAGGTGGAAGCGGTCTGGGGCAGAGAGTCAGCTTGGCTTCATGGAGGATGAAAGTGTGATCGGAGAAAGAGGAAGAGGAACACGACAATAAGGAAGAGAGAAGTAGGCAGGGGCTGGATCTAGCCCAGAAGTAGGCGATGGAAAAGAGTTTAGGAGTTTGGATTTTATAACGAATGGGAAGTAAAATAACTGGATTAGTTTTTAAAGGGTGATTTTGGCTGCAGGAGAATGGCTTGGATGGGGGGTGGAGGGCAAGGATGGGGGTGTGACTTTAGAGGTCAAGGGTGGAGGGAGCCGACCACCCAGGAGAGATGGCGGCTGAGCTTACATTAGAGAGGTGGCAGAGTCTTGCCGGTGAATTATATGCACGGAGGTGAGGAAAGCCTAGGATGCCTATTGAGTTTCTAGCATGAGCATCTAGGTGAATGGTGGATCCCTTTACTGAGATGGAGATCAAAGCACCAACTGAGGGTGTAAATCAAAAGCTCTCTTCTATACGTTTTAAGTTTGATACAACTTTGAGGCATCCAAGTGGAGATGCCAAGCAGGCAATGGAATAACCAGATGTGAAGTTCGGTAAAGAGGACAGAACTAGAGATATTAACCTGAGAAAGGCGGCACGTAGGAAGGTATTTAAACTTACAGGAATGCTGAGATCGCCCAGGAAGAGATGAGCTCACCCTGAACAGAAAAGGGCGCAGGGGCTTGGCAGGAATCTTAAGGGGCAGAGACCGGAAAGCAGACTGAAAAAGAACGGTGGGGTATAAAGAGGTCGACATAATGCGTGCTGGATTGGACTAAGCGGCTGTTTTAAAGCCGAGTCAATTTGTCCGCGGGCTGCGCCAACCATCAGCCAGTGGCCACGTACGGCTGCCTCGCACCAGCCGCCTCAGGCGGGGAGAGGAGAAACCACTAGCCCCGGCAGGCCCCGCCCCCTCCCGATCCTGCCAGGCGCTCCAATCGCTTGTAGAGATCATCGCTGGATCCAGGCGGTTGTGTCGATCTCCGCTCCAATTGGAGACAGGGTCCAAACAATGGCGGAGAAGGCTCAAAAGAGGTGAGTCCGCTGTTTGAGAAAAGCCTATTTCTGCACTCCGCAGGGGTGGAAAATCTGCTCTTGGGCGCCAGTGGTAGGGACTAAGATGGTGTCATCCCCGGTGCTCGGCCGGGCTGGTTCTTAAAGCCCAGACCTGGCGGCCCTGAGGGAGAAGGCGACGAAGTGGATCTGAGGGAGGATTGGGAAGGGACGTGGGATCGGTGCCAGGAAGGTTTTTGTTCTTCGATCCCGCCGCCCTCCTCCGCAACGCGCCGGCGCAGAAAGGTCTCCGGAGGCGTTGCGCGGGGAGCTTGGCGTCGCCCACTGCCCCGGGACACGGAGGCACACCCCCGGTCCCCCAAATCCTGCTGCGTTTTGTGCGGCTGGCCACTATCGGCGGCTCGTAGCCGCGCCGCATCCTCCGCGGTGCTGGCCACACCCCAGTCCCCTCCTGCCCATCGTGGGGGGTGTGTGTTTGTGCAAACGCGTCACTGTCGCTCGTCTAAAGGGGGCCTGCGCCTGGACCAGAACTG